CTTTCCGAATGAATGAATGATTGTGTTAACCCCTTCATCCTTGAGTTGTTCCATGTGACAAGTGTGGATTTTACCAGGAACTTAGTCTTAAATCTCTTTGGCAAAGGAGATGGGCTGGGTGGGTGGTCCAGTTGCCATGTAAATTTATAGCATTCCCAAATGATGGGATTATTAGACCCCAGAGCCACAGCAGAAGAACTTCAGGAAAGAAGGTCCAAGGAAGATTCACTGCCCACCTCACCTTACCCCCTCATCCAGTTATCCCTGCAGGACCCTGAACGGATACCCTGAGATATGTCTGAATATCCACCTTGGCTAGAAACACAGCCACTGACAGGCATGCCTCATCCAACAACACAAGCCATGTGAGACGGGCAATTTCTTTCCTTCTCCAGCTCCACCACCTCAGGTAGGACCCGGTCTGTCCTGCACATGCCAGTGAGTGTTTCCTTTCCTCACAATTTTCTCAGCCCCACCCAGCCCCTGGCAATGTCCCTGGGTGGCTATTTCTAAACAGCATAAAATACACAGTTGACTCTCTTTCGTGGCAGGAATGCTCTATAAAGTCACAGGGATCCCTCAGCGAGAAAATACAGAACCACTGCTTGTAGGGGAAATACTGGGTTAGGTCCCAGTATGTTCATCAACAGATCAGTTACACAACTTTGTTTTATGTGTGTCTCAGTTTAAGATTTATTTAATATTTACTTCTGTTTCATGAACGTTGAACGCTCAGCAAACAGCATGACAACTCACACCTGAACGAAGCACACCTCACACGTGGATTTTCTCCATCAGGTACATTTCTGCCCCCTGTGCTCAGCAGCGCCAGAAAGCACCGCAGCTCAGAGCATGGGGGTCAGTGTAAACCGCCCCCCTCAAAAAAAAAAAACCAAAAATGTGAAAGGCATTTAAATAGTCCACAGAAAGAACACTAATTTACCATCTTGAGCGGAAACAAGACCTCAGCTGTGCCCGCGCACATCAGGAGACTCAATTTTTCAGCCACGGATGACCAGGAAAGCCCTGCGTGTACTGACTTTGGACTTCAGTAAATGTTAGCACGCAGGCGAATTCCCAAATGTGGAATCTGCAAATATGGAGGCTGCACTGTATTTTAAATGGAGCTAAAACTCAAATTCCTGAGATTTGCATTTTTATGCAAGAAGAGGGGAGAGGGGGGTTAAGGAATTAGAATGTAATATCCAGAAGGCTCCGAGTGTAACTTCCGTGGCCACAAGTCTGCTAGCTACCCCTGATGCTCGAACAGGGTTGTTTATCGCCCTGCCTACGTTCTGGACTCCTTGCCAAGACTGTTTAACCTGAAGATTCAAGAAACTATTGCAAATGGCAGTGAATAGAACCTAAGAGTGGTCAAATATTATGTGCAACTTTTTTGTAAAGAAATTTTAATTTATAATAAAGTTTAACAGTTTAGAGAACAGTTAATATTTGACCGGCTTTGTATTGTAATGCTATTTTGTTGTATTAAGATTGTTTATAAAAAATATTTTTAATAAGTGAACTTTAATAAATAAATAAATTTTTTTTAGTAAGTAAATAAGTGAAAGGCTCCAGGACACTAGAATCCCAGTCTTTCAAAGGATCTTTTTGAAGACCCTTAGCCCAACCCTCTCCTCAATCCTGAAGACCTCCCCGGGGGTCCAAATGAGCCACGTGGGGCCCCTGCACAAGTGTGATGGGGAAAGCAATGCCTCCTAGGGCGACCCCAAACTGTGGGCAACTCCTGCAGGCCCTACCCCCCGGGCAGAGCCCCTCCTGTCCCTCCCACCGCCCTAAATAAAGGCCCCCCCTCCCCCACAGGGCTCACATTCACATCACTGACCAGGGCATCACATGTCTCCCTGTCCAGGTGCTGGGTTACCACAAACCAAGAGCCTCAAACTACAGGGAAACTGGGTCCAGGTCATCATTTAAGACACGGTACAAATTTAATTTGAATTCTGGGGAGAAGAGTGAATTTATTTCTTGACTCAGATTCTCTGAATCGGAGTCATTTCTCTTATGACAGTAATAGCAACATTCCAGGCTCCTGTTGGGCGCGAGAGCCGGTCTGATGCTCTGTGCCAAGATGGACACGTTTCATCCTGACAGCAATCTGATGAGGTAGGGGCTGTGGTTGCGTCCACCTTCAACAAGAGCATCTTGAGGCACAGAACAACAAAACAGATGCCCTCAGGTCACACAACCAGGAAGAGAAAGCGCCAGGCCACCCCGAATGCAGCCCCACCAGCCCGCCAGGAGGGCCAGCCCGTGGGTGACCCAGCAGCGGCCACACCCTTCGTCCCCACAGAGTAGCTCTCCAGTGGGTTCTGTCTAACCAATTAGCTATCTTGAAGAGCTGCATTTGGGCAATACAGGAAAAAAAAAAAGAAGAGCTATATCTAGGGTGGGTTTTATTTCTTTTCAACGCTAAAAATCATGAAATTCAAAAGGTGAGTGGGGGTGGTTTTCCGAGGCCACAGCTCCCAGAATTCCAGGTCCCAGGGCCTCGGGTGTCACGGTGGCTCAGAGACTGGCCTGGTGAGCCCGTGGCATAGCTGGGCCCCCAGAGAGCACATTTCTGCTCAGGGTTTCACAGACTCCAATTTATCACAGCTCCTCCGTTCTCAGGAGGGTGTGATCTATATTCAGGTAAGAGGAATTAAGAGGAAGGAAAAAAACTGTTGGTGCTACCAAAACCCAGGGAGCTGAATCTTGTGGACTGACTGCCGGGGACTTGCTGGCAAGTGAGTTTCTGTTTGTTTGGTTATTTGGGAGGGAGGGGAGCTGGTCATTAGATCAGCTTTTGCTTGCCTTGAGGGGTAAATCTTGGATTTTTGAAATGGAGAGATACAGATACATAGCTGAGTTTTTTTTTTTAAAGATCTCGGAAATGAAATGTTAGAAATTGTCATTTAATATATAAAACAGATGAACAACAAGGTCCTACTGTATATCACAGGGAACTACATTCAGTATCTTGTCATAACCTATAATGGAAAAGAATACATACGTACCTGTGTGTATATAAAACTGAATCACTGTGCTGTACACCAGAAACTAACACAACACTGTAAATAAACTATACTTCAATTAAAAAAAAGTTTTTAAATTGGCATTTACAGTCCCAAAAGCCTGATGGTACAAACCTCAATTTGGTGTCTTTATCCTCGAATGCGTGCCTCGCAGTCTCTCCTTATGCCTTAGACAGTCAATTCAAGAAACCTGTTAATTAGGTATCTGTGGCCCATCTTAACAAGATAAATTATTTCACTTAAT